TAATTTAATCATCATGTCGATAAGAAATATAGCTTGAGCTTCAGGTGAAGTTATATTAGCAAGAGATTATGAAATAATTTTTGAATCAGGTAATTCATTGACCATATCTCTGAATAGAATAATTTCTTCATTGTAATATTAATTGAAAAAGTTGTTAGCGCAATCCTTTAGAGAGTAAATCGAGAAACATGATGTAGTTTTCTTTTGCTATTCAAAGCAAGTTCATATATTATAATGAGACATTTGAAGTCCTTTTCTCAATGATAATAGCTAACAAGACTCTAAAAACACATTTGTATAACGAAAAGGATTCTCTATCAAAATTATAAAGTACAACGAGTTCAGTAAAAATATTTGGATAAAGGTCTGTGGAAAATCAAGACCTATCAAAACCAACTTTCTGGTTTGCATTCAAAGTTTTTAACAAAAAATTTAATCACTATATACATCAACACCCCTTTCAGATCGTGTTTTATAAAATAAAAGAAAGTCAACTCACAATCGACATGGTATTGGATATGATTCAAGATATCTATTCAGATCATCAATTGTTAATAGTGCTTGTTGTTTACGTATGTTTAATAATAATTTAATAACTATCAATTCTTTTTCAATTAATAATTGAGCTTTATAAACAGCCAAAGATTTAAACCCATTGACTAATTTTCTTAAGTGTTCATTGAGAATAGAATCAAATATAGTTATTATGATTGTTTGTTTTATTTTACGTCGAAGAACAGAATCATGAGTATACATTGACATATTTCGAGTATAACAATCAAGTATGAATTGAAGTGTAAGACTAGTTTCTCGTAAATCTAATCTTGTCACTAAAACAAATAGACAATCTCAAATTGGTACTAATTTTCAAATCTACGTTTAAAAAATAAAAAATTTTGTATATTGAAAGTCTAGATTACAGACCCCTGAAATTGGTCCCGAAATCTGATATGGGTCCAAAAATTTTGAAATCGACATCCTCTAAAAGGCATAAGATTGCGGACAATGAGAATTGTATGACAGGAGGAACAAAAGAAGAATCACTATGATCGTGCTTGTACAAAGACTAGTATTGCTAAAATAACATTTTTCGTTTTCGATATTTCTCATAGATTTCTCTTCGTTAAAAGTCCAAAGTTAGATGTTTAGTAAAAATTAGTTATAATTTTAGGTTTACTTCTGCTAATATTTACTTCTTCACTTCTACGATCAGTATTTTGTTGATCGATATTCAAAGCTAAAGAGTTCTTATTAAATTGTTCTTGTATATTTTCTACACTTATATCAATTGATGTTTTTTGTTGATGATGCGATTGATCATTTGTATTTAATATTTGTTCATAAGCACAAATTTTAAGAACTTCTTCTGTGGATAAATAATAATCTGTATTGGATAATAAAATTTCATTGACTTTCTCAAAACGTTCTTTATTTAAAATAATTCTTATAATAATTGTTGTTAAAAAATATAGAATATTTTTCAATAATTGGATCGAGAATCTGTAAATGATTAGGTGACACTAAGAAAACAAAAAAGAAATTTTTGTTTGTGTTATATAAGGGAAAGTTTTTCCTTCTACAACATGCTCTCAAATTTGATCAGACTGTAGAGAGTACCTCCAAGCGGTTTGACAGTTGAATGTAGTATAGTCTGAAAAATGCAGACTTCATAAAACGTTAAATTATCCGCTATAACATCATTAGTTTCCAATGAAATTTTCTATGTATAAGTGCCTATTCTCCAAGTATTTAGTCTCTACATTACAGGATAGTGGGATGTTGTATTGAAGGATTATAAAAACAAGATTAATCAGTATGTCTCAATTTTAGAAGTAAAATTTGTTTTTTCTTACCTCTAATTTCAAGAAAACATCATTTCTTCTAAAAGAAAAAGATGTTACCTCATAAAGGCAAACTTAGTGAATGATTTTTTAAGCAGAAAAAATCTATTTTTGCAAACCTCATGACTTCTGTTATATGTGACTCAATCCGAAAGAGATTGTCATATTCAGGCACTTGAAGGTATTCTACAAAGTGGCTAGTTTCAGAAGCATGTTGTAAGGAATAGAAAAACATCATTCTCCTTAAAATACTCTGTAATATATATCATAACTAACTGTTAGAAATAATATGAGTAAAATATTCTATACCTAAGTCTGAAATCATTTCTAGAAATTTTTCAGTTAATATGGATGAAAGAAGAAGTTTTTGCAAAATTTTCAATGCGTTTAAAACGTTTCTGTCGATGATTAATACGTTGATGAAATGAATCAAGCAAAGTTTTACATTCAATTCTACAAAAAAATATTTGATTTTCTAATTAAGGGAAAAAAAAACTTTTTAAATCTATAGTGATTTACACTTGTTGTTTTGGAAGAATAATTGTAGAAAGTTCTTCAAAATTAATTTCATTATTCGTTGATTTTAATAAAATTTTAAAATATTCTTGTAAAATAATATCATGTATTGTAATTAAAGATGAAAGTTCATGTTCATATTTTGGATCAGCATAATCAACAAGAATAGAAGCTTTTTTATAAGTTAAATAACAACCAAGTTTACAAACATTTTCATTAATAATTTTATGAATATTATCATTATTCTTTCGTTGTTTAATTGTTAGATATTGGTTTTGTTGATCAGAATTTTTTAAATTTTCCATAGATATATAATAACTATCTAATTCTATTATACGAAAAAAAAATTGTTTATTTATTTTCTTTTCATGGTTTTCTAAAAGACTTTTTAGCAATTGATATTCCTACAATGTATTAGAATTAGTTCTTAATCAAGGAAAACTGCTAATGATATTAAACGAAAGCTTGTCGAAATTGAGATTTAACATTACTCAACAGTTCATAGAATAACGATGAACTACATCACGAGCGAATGTTCTAAAATTTTCAGGTATATTATTAGAGTCTATCTTTAGTCAAACATCGAGTTCTCTTTGTTGGTCATTATGATAAACACGCTTTTTCAATTTCATAAATGCCGATGTTACGAGTTTTCTATCTCATTGATTTTATTCTTTTTTATAGCTATAGATAAAGTTTTACTATAATGTTTTGAGAATTTCTTGAGTATCGTTTTTTTTTGTTTAAATATTTGTTTTCTAACCTAATGTATCAAGAAGTCTCCTTAGAAAATTATTGTAGATTCCATCAAGTATCTATTCATTAACAAAAGTTTTTGTTTCAATTAATGTTTTAACTGTATTTTCATTTTTATGTATTTGTTATTATGAATATTCAAATAGTTACCATGAATACATAGTGATGATAATCTTTTTGTTGATTCGATAAAATTTTTTGTAATAAAATTTTGACGTTCATCATTATTTAATGGAGAATTAGTATAAATTACTTTGATTGTCATTGCATGTTTTGTTAAATATTCAATTAAATCATCTTCACGTATAACTGAAGTAAATCAGCATCATGTTTATGAAAAGATGATATAGATTCAAAATGTTTTAATAAAGATAATTTTTTAATAATAATATCTTGTTTAGATAAAACAAGAAGTTCAATTGTTGATCTAAGACCGGATGTTATTAAATCATCAAATATATCAATAATTGATATAAAACGTGG